AATTTTGTCCTTAATCGTTCTGAGTTTTCACTTATTTTTCCTTTAGCAACAGTGAAGTTGCACCAGATCGTTACTGTTGTGTCCAACAATTTTTGTCTTCCAACAAACTCATACATCCAATATTTTTTTTTCCCAGAAGCTAGAGGAAATGAATAACAAAGTCTGTTTTTTCTGCATATTCTGAACTACTATGTTCATACTATTGCATTACCGCCAAAATACTTTTTTTTTTTTTAGAGAGAGACAAGATTTATGTCTTAGCAAGTACTGTTTGTGAAAGGAGGAAAATGGTAATTGTAACTCACGTTATACTAAAGCATAAAATATTTAAAAGCTAGTAGTGTATGAGCAAATGACTGATATAACAGCTCTGAGAATTACTCTTTCTGTGTTAGGATGCCTTAGGCTAAACTTTGTTTTGAGAGGTCTGGGGTCAGATTTAATGAATTTTGTAGAAATTGGATCATCTCCTCCTTTAAACAGAAAATCAGCAAAATTAGGAACAATAGTTTTTAGAGGCCAATCATGTGTTCCGTTTTTTAAACAACTTTATACATAAGTTGAAAGCAGCAAAAGGCATCCTGTAGAAACTGAATATGATGCTCGTCTCAAGTGAACGTGGATGAACATTTAAGATTTATGTGCAAGTGATAAGAAGAACTAGCCTTAAGTTTTACATGAATTGCTGTTTGTTCACAATGCAGTGGAACACACACTGAGATAAATGTTCTAATGTAAGAAAAATTCATATTGGACGTTGATGATTAGAAACAGTTAACAGTCTACAGGCAGAAAACAGAAAATGGAAATGTGTTGAATGTCTGATGCTTAGTACATTGAAGTGAGGGCTAAAGTTTACTTTTTTGTTTTACTCTAGTTTTTATCAGGTGATTGTGCTTCCGCTGGGTTTGGAGAGCACTTTTATTTGCGATTCCTTTGCTGCTGCAACTTTCTTTAGCAACACCACTGACACTGAGGGATATGTGGCAGCTGAATTTCTGGCCAAGGATGTTGCTGATAACATGTCAATCGCTCTCGGAGACAGACATTACTACGGAAAGTTTTATAATGCTCCTTTAAAGCTGGGAAAAGAGTATTCTGTTTTTTTGAGAATAATAAGCGAGTGGAATAAGGTAATGGATATTTTTTAAATTTTCCTTTATACCTGTGGAAAGAAATGTAGCTATGGAAAAAAGAGGAATATTTTAGCCGCATGTTAAATTCTTATGGTGTTGAAAGTATCTGTAAATTTACAGAATGAGATTCAGTCTGAAGCATCTTTAAATAACTCTTATAATTCCTTACAGATATGTAGGTCATTGTAATGTTGGAGTAATTCTGGATGCCACAAGGCAAACAACGAAAAGAATTAAAAATGAACGGTCACCTCTGCCCTCACTAATTGAGGGTGTCTTTTTTAGGCCAGAACTTAGTTTAAGAGATTTGTATTGAGAAATCTGAAATTAACTCCCCAGCAGTGAAGAATCCTCTCATTTGCAGTGGAATGTTCTAGAGCAAAATATTCCAGTTCTCCAAATAACCAAGTAAATATGTATTTTATCATGTGTATTACCTTCCAGACAACAATGAATGTCAACTCCAGTTCTCTTGGGGAAAGCTTGCTGGAAGACATATTACTAGCATAAAATTTTTGGCGTTTTAAGTTAAATGTGTATTTTAATCAGAAACAAAGCATCTAAAATGTGTATTTCTCTCAGCTATTCAGTGCTTCAGTGTCTTTCCTCCCACGATGCCATTGTGCCAGTAGTTTTCCAGTCATTATCCATCTCACTGGTCTACAGCTGATAACTTTTTCATGGCCAATAAAGGTCTGAGCAGCAGGTAGTTTTTCCCAAGTGTGCCCGGTGACAGCATTGTCAAGGTCATGTTTGTCCTGAATGTCAAATATAAGAAAAATAAATCACCACACAAAAAGTGAACCATGCCAAAAAAAAAAAGTCTTTTGAAATTAAAATAGAGTGTTGGGGTCTTGTGTCTAAGCATAAAGGAATGAGGCAGGGCAAAAATTCATCTGAGAGTCAGTTGTAAATCTCTGTAGCTTTGGGAAGCCTACACCTCAGTAAGTGAAAACAGCTTCTGATAAGAAACATAACTTTGCCTCAATCCAAACCAAATGAAATAAAACAAGTAGATACATGTAATTTCTGTCCTCGTATCTATTAGTGTGTGCATCATACCTTTTTATATGGTGTCTCCTTTAATATTTAAGTTTTTAATGGTTCCTGATCCTGATGAAAACCTGTCCTCTGTCACTAATTTCTGATTAATGGTCTGAGGGAAGCAGCAGAGAAAGGACAGTTGAAGGCACTCAGTTCATAAATGGTGCTAAGTTATCCCAAAATATCCTGGAATTTGGAATTAAGCCTCTGAGAATTTACTCTGTGGAGCAGGATTATTATTTGAGCCAAAAATGTAACAAGTTTGCCCTCATTAAGCTCTCCTAAGTATTTCTTTCAGTTTGGTTTGTGTCTCCTAGGGTTTTACATGTTGGTTTTCCCTAGCCCTTTCCAGTTAATGTTTTGTAATTTGAGGGAACATTTTACATTGTTATTTGTTTTCAGGCTTGTCTAGCACTGAACGGTACAGACTGCTTATGCATCTCTGCCAGCTGTTTGTTGAACTGTTTCTAAGTTATATTCCCCTTCGCTTTTATGTAGGTAGTTGTCTGAACTTTTCATCTCCCGCATTGCGGGATGTATTTTCTAGGCCACTGATTTAATGGAATATCTGTTACTTGTAGAAGTGACAATGCATTTCCTTCCATGTAGAATGCATCTACTCTTTAAGACGCACTTTCCTTTATTGTTCTTGTTACTAGATGAAGTAGGCAAAGTTACATTACAATGTATAGAAATAGTTATTGAGTTTGCAAAGACCAGACAACTTGGGTTCCCAGTTTTTTTTCTTTGAAATGGGACTTAGATCTGTGGCATGAAGGTGTTGGTTAATCTTCAGTTCTCTTCCTGGCATATTTTGTGCAATTGTTGATACTGAGATAGAGAATTCTAAATTGAGGATTGTTGGGTATTCAGAGCTTCTGAAAATCTCTTTACTTAAGTAAAGGAATCTTTATTCCAGAGCAGGCATTTAAACATCTCTCGTTGTTGGGTTTTTTTAATTTACTTTTTAATTTCTCTTCAGTCATTATCGCATGTGAAGTTTGCATTTATCCGGTATGTTTTACATATGAATACATTTCTATTTGAATACAGACATAACAGAAATTTATGTCATAGAATAACAACTACTGTTGCCATTATGATACTTCCTATGTTCTGGCATCCTCCAAAGACCCCTCTAGCTTGGGGTCCCTTTGTGCTGAGAACTGCAAAATCAAGGCTAGGTTGTGACTTTTTCTTGCTGCTATTTCTGAATATCTCTATTGTATTTTCTTTGAAGTAAGGGTGAGAAAATAAGTTGAGATAAAATTAAAAGGAAATGGTTAAGATAAATAAGCTATTCTGTTCTATGTATTCCACTTTGATTCATCCCTTGCTTAGAAATGTTGGAAAAGTACAAGGAAAGAAGTTAAGAAGTCAGAGATGAAGGAAATAACCATTTTTAAAACTGATGAATTTGGCAGTTAGGATATAGTAATGTTGGAGACCATGGGAGAATTTGGGAACAAATGAGTATTTACTGTCATTATCATGAAAACCTTACTGAAGGGGAACAAATTGTCCACCCTTGGTAGTGTCCTTCTCTGTAAGGCATACGGTTAATTAAATAAATCAAACCAAACTGGTACCCGTTTCAGCCTCCAGTGATAACGTTATAGATTCCATGCTCTGTAGAAAGCCAACGCTCGAAGTGAACGGTGAGAGTTGTAAAAGCTGCTTGGAGTTTAAACTAATTTGGGATTAATTTCTTGAGCACAGCTTTGTACACCTTCAGTGTCAGCATCAGTTTTTCCTGGATCAAACAATGTGTGCATATAACAGAAGTAAGAGCAGGTCTGTGAAAAGTGAAGACAATTTTAGTACTCTGTTCTGTTGTTTTTTTGTGACATACTATATTTTTAGTAAAAAGGCTAAGAGCTTTTTGGAAAATTAGAAGGGAAATAGCCTGAGTTGGGATGCAAGTGTGTTAAATTAGCCTGATAAAAATCAGCTAAGAAAAGTATATGCGCAGGGGAAAATGTCTTCTGTTTTCGCTAGAAGTCTTTTAAGTATACTGCTGTGAAAAGGGTTTCTAGCTCCAGTTTAACTGCCCAGGGAAAAGCAGAACATACAGGCCAAAACAGGGACTTTGAGGTTCACGGACCTTTTTGTGCACAAAGGGTACTTGAATGTTTGCAGGAGTAATCTGACCGATAAGTTTCTGAGAAGGCGTTGGGGGTTACTTTTGTTACCGGCTGCTAATTCATTGAAGGGAGGGTGTTATAATTCAATTTGGTATCAAGTACATGTTAGTGTACTTTACTGATGAGATTCCTGGGAGGTCTGTAACTTCTTTCGAAGGCAGGGGAGGGCTGACTTGCTGCAAACCAGGGTGTGCCGAGGAGGTAGCTGTCCCAAGATGATGTCACTTGCACAAGTGACTGCTAGTCTCTGGCATTTGGCTGAGTTTTTAAATCCACTCCTTGTTTTTTTTTCTTCCAACCTTAATAGGCTTTCCTTTTTCAGTGTTTTGTACTTTTAAATAGCTAGAAAATTCCATATGAAGCCTATTTTAAGAAACACTGAGGTTGCATGATTACACAGGCCCACAAAAGGAAGAATACGTATATATCCAAATGTGGTGTTGTCCCCTTGTGCAACTGCTTCATAACTTAAGTCTTTAATTTCATAAAAACATACCATTATCCAGAGCAGCATAATATATTTTGCCAGAAGCTTTCATGAGGAATGCATGTGTATGTATTCTGTGAAAGTCTGTGAAAGTCATTTAGCAGGAAGTTCCGTACAGAGGCACTCCAGAAATAAACTTCTGAGTAATTACACAACAGACATTAGAACTTAGAATAGAACTGGCACATGCATATGTTTCTTTATGGGTATATGAGTGTGAAAAAAAGGGAAAAAAGTTATATAGATGCAAAGACTTACTGTAAGAAAACAAGCTTGTTAAACAGTTCAAAAGAAAAGTCTTAATAAAGATCTGTTTAGTTCCTGTGGACATTAACTCCTGTTAGGTATTGTATAAAAATACGTTAAAATTAACAGGCACTAAGTGCGTAGTCCTAACTGCAAAAAATAGTATGCGGTTTATGTACTTGAAAACTATATAATTAAGTACTGTGTTTTAGCATATACATGCTAAATAAAAATAGAGTTAATGCAGCACATTCAGTCTTGGCATTTCCCGATTTCTGAATTTTTAACCATATAGCTTCAAAGATCCTTTCATGTCACTTACATGCATAAGTTACAGAAAGAACGGAAAAACAGAGTAGAGCTAGGCTTTTATAAAAGCCATCTCTCTCATCTGACCTTTATAGTTCGTAAGCTTAGAAAAGCTAGGTGCTGTACCAGGGATGGGGAGGGAGGAACCGTTCTCAGTAGTAATAAAATTCAGTGTTTTGCCGCTGACTGGTTTGATGAGGGTGCAAATGATGGTAAATTTCTCTACTGAGAAACAGTGATGTTTTATATTTTCATTTTCAGGTGAGAACACAGTCCTGTGCTGTTTGCGCACAAATTAAAAGTAAGTAAGAAAAATAAGAAAAGAGAAGTCAAAGCTTGGCTTCGCAACATCCCAACATGAGTTTAATAATTGCTGTGGCTGCTCTTTCATTCACTATTAGTAATCGGTTCACTTTGAGGATTGTAAAGGTTAGAGGCAGAAATTTTGCTTTGCACTGTGTGTTTAGAGGACAAAGTTCTGAAATGGATTCCCCACCTTGCTGTTAATATTATTCTTTCTGGACATCACATCCAAATCTTGACAGCACTGGTTTTGTGACCATCTTCTTCCATAACAAAATAACAGAGAAAATAAAAGTTTAGGTCCTACAGGATTTAAAGCACGGAAGATAAGTGTAATTTTAGAAGCTTGTTTTGAAAAATACAGAAAAAAATAGAAAAAAAAATCCTTTCTACTGTGTTAGAAGGAATCATCTTTATCCATTTCAACATGAGCCTCTCCTGAACAAAGTGTCATCCTTAGAGTCCCCTACAAACTCTGGATTCTGCTTTTGGGTTGAAAGACTTACGAATTGGAAATAGGAAATGTGATTCTAGGGAATGAGATAACACTTTGAAAGATACGATGCTTGTGGTGTGTCTTCTCCAGTACTCAGCAAAATCCACCTCTAACTAGTATTATTATTGATCTTCCAGTGACAACTGTATGTTTATTTCTATGTTGTTTACTCACACAACTTGGTTTATTTGCTGCTGCATTTGGAATATCATCTCAGCAGCTTGTTCGTATGAGAAACTGCTAAGCTCAAAGATTCAATAGGCTTGAGCGCTGTGTTGCTGGTCCAAAGAGTCAAGAGCTGTAAAATAACTCTGGAAGTAGAGAAAACTGTCGTCTTCTGAATTTCTCTTTTACCAACTTCCAGAACATTGTCAGATACTGTCTTATGTATAGGTGGGTTTTTCTGGGGGATGAAAAGATGGGCATTGCCAAAGGAGAGTAGGATAGGACAGGCCTTTGCCTTTGCATGTAAATCTGCTTGCCTTTATGCTGGACAGACTTCTAGCCAAACGGTGTTCTTGGCCTAAAGGTACCTCTACGATTGGAGAGGCTGAGAGTATTTTTGGCTCACTGAATCTTTAAGGAGTAGTATTCAATTCTCCTTGTGTGAAGGACAGGTATGTAAATTAAATCTAAAGCCAGCTGTTTCAGATGCCCTTTAGACAGCACTTCATACTGCTGGATAAATCATTGTCATAAAAGGTGGTAGGATAGTGTTACCAGGGTGCTTCCTTCTGTCATTAATAGTTGCCTGAGTAGCATGAATTTGAGAGTTTTTGAGAAAACATATTCTACAACATGTGAGGAAGGCATTTCTGTAGTTTTTAGGAGGGCTGACACCTGTTCCAGACGTTTTTAATTTACATATGGCAACTGGTGTTGTGGTGATGTTGGGACAGGTATATCTTAGTTTAACTTTTTCCAAAACTGGACATACTTGGAGGTTAAACAGATTTTCCTGATGAGGTCCCTATCTGAAATTCTGTCTTTTGCAAGCCTTCCAGTCAGGTTCAGAAGCGTTACGTCGATACAAGTCTTGCTTCACTAGCAAAGTTAAGCAAACTTCTAAAGTTTTCCTAACTCCTTTCTTATTATTCTCCTATATGTCTTTTGAGCTTCAAACCAATTGCTGAGAGCATTTTGGGTAAAAGCCCAGCCCGCTCCTTGTGCGTGTGCCTTCAGATGAGCCAAAAAAAGCCTTCCACTTACATAGTAGAGATCGCTTTTGTGATGGCTGGACATTTGGGTTCTCTTCATTGACGTATGCAATAATTTCACTGAGTAAGAAAGTTTTTTTCATTTTTTGCAAGAATATAAACTTCTGCTAAAGCATTAAGTACTCACATGTGCAAGATTTAAGAGGAAACAAAGGTGTGGAATCTTGTAGGAATAAGCTGAGATATTTGTGGGGAATCCAGAAAGAAAGGGGTAACTTTCACCAGCTACTGAAAATGAGATGGAGGGAGATGGAAGAGATCAAATCTTTGTTTTTTCAGGTTGTCTTCACAGGTAGTTCGTAATAATTTTGGTGTTGACCTTAAATCGGTATAAGCCGCCTGTTCTGTCCTTGGTGGCTTCTAGCTTGGGGGGTTAGGTAAGGCTGTCATGGCCAGGTTTATTTCTAGTTTTTCACTGGAAAAAAAAAAGGGAGAAAAGAAATAATACCTGTATTGCAAAACATTGGAAGAGAAGCATTTCACCATTTAAAAAAACATTAGGAATTGCTGGCACCAGAGACTACATTGGCATGTCACTAGTACTGAAATTGCCAGTGGTGAGTGGGGAAAATGTTGACATTGAGTATCAGAAGTTAAAAGGAAAAAAACAGGAAAGTGAGAGATGGAGAAGTGTGATCACTTTTGAGAAATACACCATTTAATCATACTTCCTCAGTTGGCCACGGGCTACTGAATAGTCAGCTCCATTACTGCTTGATTGAGCAATAAGTTCAGCCTATGAGTTTTGTTAGAATTATTTAGCTTTGAGCAGATTCAGTCAGTCAGTCCCCAGACTGAAACTCTACCATTTGTTCACTTCAATTGTTTGATATTTTCTTTTCAGATTTATCACCCACTCTGCAATATATGACTGCTGTTGGATTAGGGTCGGTTGCTGCTGTCTGCCTTATATTGTTCCTTTCTTTCTCAGCAGCACGGTACGTATAGTTAATTGTTAACTCCAGTAATGTAGTTCTCCCTTCTCAAGGTTTACATGCTTTGCTTTTCAGTCTTTCTCTCTCAGCTTTTAGTCTTTCTCACCAACCTGCTTGTTTAAGGCCTCCTGGATGGTTAGAAACTTCATCAAGAGTTCCTCAGTGGCCACCTCCTCTGGAATTGTGTCCGCTGCTTGAATTGATGCCCTCTGTATCTTTGCAATCATTGAGGGAACATCTGAAAAATAAGGGGCACACCTTAATAGAGCAGGGATGCAGGAAGCGATTAGTGCCAGGAATTTAGTTCAGAGATGTTTTGATTTAATGTTAACTAAATTAATGATGTTTATACCGTGTGCTACTGTAAAACTGAAGTCATGCCAAAGAAATGTTGTTCTGCTTTTCTTATTTGTGGAACAATTTCTAGTCTTCCCAACTTTATTCAAAACATCTAAAAATACAGTTTTTCAAAAGAGGTTATCTTTAACAAAAGGCCTCAATAAAAATGTGCTAGAAATCTTAAAAGTAATCGATTGCCTTATGTTTCATGATCCCTCATGTAGGGGCAATAACTTCACAACTTTCCTTCTATCAAAGGTGAAACAAATATGTGCCTTTCAGTAATTGTCTACATCTCTATATGTGTAAATTTTCTTGACCAAGAAATACACCTTTGTCATTGCTTGAAATCTGTTTGTCTGTAAGAAAACTGTTCTCCTGATTTATGTCCTTTGTGAGATCAGGAGCCCACAGCTTGGGGGCCTTGGAGTATCAAGCATTGATCGGCTAAGCTGATTATTTGACATGCACAAGGAGAATGGCATGCAGAAGAAGCTGTTCCTAATAAAGGCTAGAGAAAGTAGGATTACTTGTGGTTTTCTAAATTTTAATTCAATTCTTACAATGTAAATTACAAAATAAAACCGCCATAGTTCCTTTCTTTTCTTTCAATAATTAATCAGAAAAAGGATCTCAGATTTCCTTTGGCAATAGGACAGAGTCAGCAACTTGTGCTTGCAGTCTTGATTGCTTTTATATTTTGGAGTAGGTTGTCAGAATCAGCTTTTGACATTTAAGACAGAGGGAGCTAAAACTATGCTAATGTCTTAACTGGCAAGTCCTAGCAGATGTTTTTTTGCAGCAGCAGGTGTATTGCTGGGCTGCCTTGGTCTGAAAAGCTCCTCACTGATCTGAGTTTCTGTGGCAAAAACAGGACAACAAGACGTGAATATTCTTTGAAATTTTGTCCAAGGAATTAGCATCAGGGAAGGAGGAGAACTATTTAAGATAAAAGATAGTACTGGAAGAATCTCATATGAGTATGAACCGGTCGTGAATGAGCGTAGAGGAGTTAGTTAAGGTCCAGATCTTCCATCTCAGTTTTCCTTTAAAAATAGTGGGAGCATAAAACCCCAGTACTGTTCCTGGGGAGCCGAGTACATTTTGACAGGGGTCATGTTGTAATATCCTGTAATATTAGGGACTGGGACTTTGTAGCTCAACAGGTATTTTGTAGGCCCGTGTTCCCACGTACAGAGAAACTCCTAAATGCGTTCTCCTGCTTTAGAGGGGATCAGACAGAGTCGGTGGCAGAAATTAAAGCTGCCTCACTCCCTGTGGGAATCAGGGGAAGGAAAACCCAGGTGTCAGTTGAGATATGACCATTCCTAGTGCTCAGAAGAAATCGCTATAATGTTCATAAGTACAAAATACTCTTTTATTTTTAAATAAGCATCATTTGAATCCATTTCGGAATAAAAATGTAATTTGAAAAACACATGAAGTCAGCCTTGTGCCCTGTCCAGTTGTTTTAAGGCCACGGTCTAGTCTGGGCACCATATGCCAAGAAAGATGTGGCCCAGTGAGAGAGACAGACAGACAGACAGAGGAACTCAGCAAGAGAGACTAGAGATCTGTCCAACCCAACCTGTGGGTAGGATAATCTAGGGCTGCTTAGCTAGGAGGAGAAGAGACTGTCAAGGAATATAATAATGCACAAATACACAAAAAAAAAAAACATTATAGAAAGACCAAGCCCGTCCATTTTCTCCTGTAAGAAAGAATCAAGTGCCTGTGATTATTTCCACTCCTATTCAGAAGTTCCTTTGAGATTAAAATATTAGAAAAATCATTCTGTTAACTGGTGAAATAAAGAAGAAGGAGTTCTGGGTTTTAGTCCATGGTAAACAACAGTATAGGCAGTAGCATTTCTGAATGTGGAGAGAGGGAGGCACTGGAATAAATTACTGTGAAAGCCTGCTGTCTGGGTGGTCTATAGGAGCAGGTTAAACAAGCATCTGTCAGGAACAACACAGCTACGTGAGGGTCGGGTGAATAGTCTCAGATTATTTTGGGGGGTCTCTTAAGCCCTATGGTTCTGTAGTTGCTGTCACAAAGGAACGCTGTATTTGTGTGCTTACCAGCTTGCCGTGTGTCAGCTGCCTCAAGGATTGTGTTACCTCAGCAGGCCAGGTTGTGAATTCCTACTAGCATGCTTACTGACAGCAGTCTTAACTGTTCCTCAGTGAAAGTCAGTCTGACACTGAGTTCGCAGAGCGCAGAGCGTGGCTGCTTCTGTCCATAGATTTTTCCTTTTCATTTACCAAATGCATTGACGCTAAGGTAGCTTGTCACACATTCACCTTGCTTCATTCCACCTGAACTGTCACGTCCTCCTGTATGTATTGCCCATCCAGATGTTTAAGCACAGTGCCAAAACTTCTGCATTCTGGAGATTTGCATTGGGCATGCGTGTTGTCATGGCCAAGGTTAACCTAGGTCAGGTTAACCTCTCAGTAATCTGATGCTCTGGGAATGCTTCCTACCTGTAACTCACCGGCTATGATGTTCAGCATTTATACCAGCACCTCGGGTGTTCAAAAAATCTTAGAAACTCACCCATTTGTCCCATCAGCATGAATGATGTGTGTCCTCTGTCTGTTTTGTGCTCGTCTCTTGAATGTTTTTGAAGTATTCTTTTCTAACTAGAATTTTTTCCTTTTCCCCAGCTCCTATCTGCACAGCACAGTGAACTGCCCGCCTGCTGCTTTAGCCTGTGAGGCTGTACATTTGTCTGCCACCACGGACATGACCCGAGCAGGGATCACCTCATCATTCCTAGAGAACGAAAATGTCTCTCCTCTCTAATGTGTTATCCTCCCAAGTCAGCACAGAGAAAATCCAGTCTCCTTACCAAAGCCAACGCATGTCAGATATGGGTGGATCTGCACAGCATGCGTGTACTGCAGTATGGGCAACGGAAGTGCATTTGTTGCTAGCAGAGAGATGTTTATGTCTCCCCTTGTTTCCAGATATGATGGTATATAAAGGAGAACATTCCCTGACAAACAGGTGTTTATCAGACATCAGCATGCATCCTGTGTTTTGGCTGCAGGCTTTACTGTTCTAGTCACGGGGGCACCTGATACGAGTGCCTGTATTCCACTTCATTCTGTAAATAATCCCTTGATCGCGTTGATAATGTCTTACGATCAACTGCTACTTTAGATTCCTTAGGAGATACAAACTGCCCATTGTGAGAGAAAATACAATCACCCTGTTGTTATATGTGAAAAATTCTTATTGCATGTCCCGTTATAAAGGTAGATAACTTTCTTCAGTCACTTAAGGGTAATGCTACTTCAGTAATGAGTATAGAGTTGTTAGCCGTGAAACTGTCACATTTAAATAGTGTCACCAATAGATATGTTCCACATATACTGCAATCGTTGCTGATAGCGATTCGCAATAATTATGAATAATATAGCAATCTGTAAAACTGCAGTTTTCCAAAAAGCTGAGGAGCTTTCATGACTTGTGAAACCCTCTTAAATAAGGAACTACCTGTCTTAAGTGCAGTTTTCTTAATCTGTGCTATATAATTAAAGCTGAGTAGAGCGTTGAAAATCGTTGGTTGTTTAACAAGCTGGTGTGTAACATTAGATTCCCTTACTAAAATACAATTAGCAAATTTCCTATGGCATTTTCCCAGTGAACGTTTTTTTCCTTCTGTAAGAAAGAATCAAGTTTTGCATTTCATCACTTTGGATATATGATAACCGTTTTTGGAATCCTGAATGTTTTTGATTACTGTTGACTTTTTAATTTTAGATGTGCTGTTTCTCTGGGTTGTGTAATTCCTTTTCTGGAGTTTAAAGGGAATATTTTAAAGTGCAACACAGAACAGACTTTATAGCGGGTAACTATTAGCAGAGACAGATTACAATCAAACTTACATGAGAGACCTTTTAACCACTGCATCTAGCTGAGGGTGCCTTTTTCAGATCCAGGCAGTAGTCATATTTTTATATCACTTGTGTTAAAGGTGCAGAAAATGATTTAAAGAGACATGTCTTCCTCTGAAAGAAAGCTACTTGCACCTTTACTAACACCAGCAGTTACATTATGTTATGCAAGACCAGGAATATAGAGTCCAGTAGGTATGGCTGGAGAGTCGGTGGGTCTTCATGTAACCTTGGACAAGTCACTTCTTTGGTGGTGCCTCTTCTCTGCTTCCTATGTCTTTTCATAAGTCATATGAGGCAAGACTCCCCACCATGATAAGCTTTCCAGGACAGCTACAGTCCTGGAAGTTTCCCTCTCTTTTTCTGCCTTCTTTGTCACCTTTGGCAGACCTATGTCCGGCTGCAGCCTTTTGTCTTCATCTGTCAGGGACTTATCTTTCTTCCATCTACATCTGCTTCAGTTTAATGTGGGAAGCATGGGGTCAAAATTATCTAGCTTGTCCTCTTTGGATAATTATGCGGATGTTAAGACTTCTGTCCTGTCAGAGCCTGTTACGTGTCAGGAATGTTGCTCAGTTGCCGCTGAGTTTTCCAATGCTTTTTTTTTTTTCCCTCAATTTTTTTTCTTTTTTATGAAAAGGAAAAAGATTTAAATAGAGTGAAAATGAAAAATGGTTAGAATGGAAGCAGGTTCTTAAAAGTTTGCTCAGAACAGCTACTATTGGACAAAAGAACCACATGAAATTACACTGGACATACTTTTTATTCCTTGTGGAAAGAATGAATCTGGTTTACAAAAACAGCTAATGAAGGCCAGTTCCCTTACGTGTCCATTGGGAGGAGGTATGCCATTATGCTACAAAGGGTTTCACAGAAATGTGACCTTTGCGACTTAGCTAGCTCGCTTTACAAAAATATTTGGTTATGAGAAGATAGTTGGGAATGTTCTCACTTTGAATGGGGCTTGGAGTTCAGTGTGTGTGTAGGTAAGGGTACTTTTGTTACTCAGATTTACAATCTTATTTGCGAGGGAATGGAATGATCTGGAGCTCTGTCTTTTACAGTGTAGCATCAGCTAGCGCTAACATAGCGATGCCCTCATATGCCGTAAGTTCCGGGGATTCTAGAGATGTTTCTAATGATCCTTCACTGCTGTTCCTTTGATTAATTCTAAAATTCTTTTTTCTCCCCGCTATTTTTTGCTCTGCTGTCTGGCATATATATTCCATCCCCAGACCAACTAAGGCCAGCTGAGTTTGCCAGGTGAAGCTGCCCTCATTTTACTGCTGATCTGTAGCAGTTCATGGTGCTCAGTTGAGGGAGTGCTAACTTGAGAAATTGTTTGGTTTAGATATGTAGCTATGTGTGCATTAGCTCAGAAGTGTTTTTCCTCTGTAGAGAAACCAGTAAATTGTTATCCTTGCATAAACAATTCTGTGTAAGCTTAAGTTAAAGTTTTTTTATCTTTTCTTTTCTACTAGAGAGGTCACATGCAGGTTGTAAAAAAAAAAAAAAATCACTATTTATGCAAGTGATGATATGTCAGGTGAAAAACTTGTAGTAAGATGTCTTTTCTGCTACATGTCACTGGCAGGTCCTTTAAATCTTGCTTGGGATTTCTTTACTCTGGGCGTGATAGTGGCAACCAACAAACGATCCATTTTTGTTTGTTTGTTTTGAGTGGTAGTCTCAATCAATTGTATTTTAGGTATTCGGTATAGTTTCCTAAATTATCTTTGGCCACTTGAGTTCTTAGGAAAGTAAGTTTAGATCAAGAAAGCTTTGAAAGCACACCTTTCCTGAATCTCAGAAATCAGAAAGCTAATATCTGCTGTGTGTAAGCAGAGGGTCACCGTTCTTGTTTCTCAGCTATTCTGATATTCTGCAGACAGCCATCTCATATTTGGTAGAATTCAGCCAGAGTCCAGTGTGAGCTGGTACACCCGGGGTCTCTAGCCTAGATGGAAGCATTTCTTTTCCTAGTGACAGCATTGCTAGGAAATTATGAAAGTCTCCGTGCCAGGCCGCATCTAATGAACCCAACAGTTCTGTAGCTTTCAGAGGCAGAGTTGGTGCCTCTGGATGGCAATCTCTGCAGAGCCTGTGAAATTAGTTGGTGATCTCAGTGCTGAGCTGTAGTAGAAAGGAGCAGGTGTTGGCATTGGTAAATCACCTCCACAACTGGAGTTCCTGGCAAGAGAAATGACTCTGTGGACAGCAGAGACACATATTCGTTTTGGCTCTGACAAAGCTGCGGTCTGAGAAGCCTGAGAATAATGATAGTACTTGTTGCATGGCTGTTATGGAGCTACTTCCTTTTTAAGGTTAACTAAAACGGCACCTTTACACACAGAAGAATGGGAGACTTTCTCTGAAGTTCTGTGGGTTTTTTTTTTTTCAAATGCTTGTGTTTCTTTTCCAGCAATGCTACTTCTATTCCTGTAATCTCTAAGTGGAATAAGGAACACTAATGATTTATTGGGGTATTCCCACACTGAGGCAGCACAGTTTGCATATTTCAGTTGCAGTTCGTGTGTGTTATGTTCCCTGGTGTCCTTACGGGAACACCACAGCCCAAAAACCGAGAGAGGGAGAGAGAGATGTGTTCTGTCATTCCCATTTTAGTTAAAAAGTACGTGAAAATACAGTCATAAGTTCACAGCATAGGTAGGAAGGTTGAGTTTCTGCCCCCTAGAGCGTAAAAAATACTAAATAGACTTGGGAGAAGCAGAGAAACGAATGACGCAAAAAGGTGTTCATTTCACTAACACGTAGAGGGTATTTTCCAAAGGCCCAAATCTCCCTGACTTTATTCTCTACCTTGGAGTATTTCTCAGCAGCTTTTGGTCCTGAATGTTGTGGTTCCACTTTGATTTTGATGATGACATATAAAAGTTTCCCCTGCAGCCGTCCTGGGAGAGGGGAAGAGAGAACTGAATGGGCTGGCGAACTCTGTCAAAGCTGTTCCATGCTAATGGGCACAAATTGGCTGTCCCAATACACGGGATAAAGCTGTAACAAGAAAGCAGGATTGCTACCAGCTAGTTCTCAGCTTTCCCTTCTCACTGTGTGATACGACCCTGCTCTGTTTGCCTGTTGGCCGATGAAGATTTTAGGAAGTGCCAACACACTTTGCACTCCTGTGAGCGTTGACTCACTCTATATATTTTAATTCCAGATAAGGAATTGGCCAGTCTATTCACATATCACCTGGAATATTCATTTCATACTCAAAAAGCAGAGCCAGGTGAATGTGAACTGCCAAATGAGTAGCAATCTGCTACTTAGCATCTGCTAAGAGGCAGGCAAATAGAGGAGTTTTGCATTTTTGCAGCGTACTAGGCAAATGAATGGAACGGTCTTTCATGCGATTATGCAGCATATACCAGCATGGTGATTTGAGTGTTGTGTGGCTAAATGAAATCTGGCCCTATCCAGTTCTTTTAAATACACCCCTACTCCCTTTATTCTGCATGGTTTTAATCTGACAGATGTGCCGTAAAATGGGTGCAAAATCAGGCGTACATCCTGATATTCTGAGGAATTCAATTTTCTGTCTCAGCTTTTCATGTCTTTAGCTTCATCTGAAACTATGAAATTATCCAGATTCTCAGTCGGTGTCATTCAGCACTATTCCTTCTAAAGTAAGTGGAATAATACGTATTTACACTAGTTTAGAACCTGTTTTTATGTTTTCACTGGAGACAGAGGAGACCATGGAGACAAATACACTGTCCATTTTCATGAGGAGACTGAAAACAGTAGCTGTAAGAATGTTTGATAGTATGGTCACAGTAGTTTTCAGAGATCTCTTTAGCAGTACTATTATTAAACAGGAAGTTGATGTGAAGTAGATAGGTGGGAATTTCCAGCCTTATGACCTTGTTCTGCACTTAATCTCTGCTTTCCTTTGTTGTTCGAATATGCAATTTAATTTTATATTATTTTCCTTCTTAAAAGCTTATTGTGCTGGTCAGTCCAACAGTGTTTGAGATTAAATAGTATTACTTGAGTTAGTTTAGGATCCTCCTAATCCGTTATACTTTCTGCTTGGACTCCTGGGAGTTTCTTGGAGAACTGAGGACTTTCTTCGTCCTGCATCCCTGCCATTAATTATTACAGCAGGACTGATTTCTATTTTTTGAAAAGGCAAGACTGCTTAAGCACATTTTCGTGTATTGGCTTTATGCATTGGCTTTGTGCATTTTACAGTGAAAAGCTATGCTGTCCCTGAGAGGCATAGCAAGTATTTCATAATCCAATAATATAACTTCCTACAAGGACCAATTCTGGCTTTGCCCAGGTTTACCCTCCAAAACAAAAGACAGGGTTTGTGCATTGCAAAGGGTATTGCATTCAGAGTAACAAGGTTAAGACTTAAATTGCAGTGATTTTGGAGTCATAGGTGCAATAAACTAGAATACTTGGCAGAGTCGTTCAACAAGCAACAACACTGTCTTAACAGGAGAAGTAATTCAATTTAATCCCACTTAGACAGCATTCTGCTTTCCATTTATCCATAAACATGACCCAGCTGCTGCGAGTAAATCAGTATAGTAGAGAAACATTTTTGCCTTCAGGCTTTTTATTTGCTACCTCGAATTTCTCTCCCCAGATATTTTCCCTTTAAGTCTGCCTTGGGTATTGAGTACGTGCTTCCTGTG